AAAAAGAAAGAAAGAAAGAAAGAAAGAAAGAAAGAAAGAAAGAAAGAAAGAAAGAAAGAAAGAAAGAAAGAAAGAAAGAAAGAAAGAAAAAGAAATTAAGGTGCTCCTTAACTACATGTAGAGATCATCACAGGATCCAGAAATCAATGGTTTCTTTCTCCATGTTCTCATCCTCTTTATTCATTCCAGTTGCTGTATATCCAGAACTTCTGGTGTGTAGTGGCTCTGGATGCTCGTCCATGTGAGAGCGGTTCTCTGGGTTTGTTTCTTCTATTCATCCACCTTGGCTCTAGCCAATGAGGCCACACAGTTTCACGTAATGAGCTTTCAAGTTTCCTGAAAACATTTTCAATAATAAAACCCCAGTCCACGCTTACTTCATCCTTGAAAACTTGACACAGAAAGTTATCTGGATGGTTTCTTTTATGTGTTTGTTGCATTTAGTCTCAGATTTCTTTCTGTCTTCTTACAGAGCACTGCTTTTAAAAATACCAAGAGAGTTGATTTCAGGGAGGTAGCTCAGTTAGCTGGTTCTTGCTGAGTAGACATTACTGATTTTAACCCCCAGAACCCACATTATAAAAGCTCTGTTGTGGTAGGGTATGCTTGGGAAGGTAGAAACAGGCAGATCCTGGGGTCTCATGACCAATCAGCTCTAAGCCAATGAGAGATCATGTCTCAAAAAGCAAGGTGCGTGAAATGTGAGAATGATTCTCAAGGCTGGCCACTGACCTTCACAGGCACATGCACACGTGTACATGCACACGAGCACAACAGTCAATTTCAAATGAATATACCTTTCTGTTAACATTTGCAGGAACTTACGACACAGCATTGTCTTAGTTAAGGTTTTATTGCTGTAAGGAGACACCATGACCATGGCAACTCTTGTAAAAACATTTAACTGGGGTGACTTACAATTTCAGAGATTTAATCCGTTATCATCATGGCGGGAAACATAGCAGCTTGCAGGCAGACACAGTGCTGGAGGAGGAGCTGAGAGTTCAATCTATCTGCCACCCAATAGGCAGGCAGCAGGAAGTGAACTGGCTTGAACATTTGAGACCTCAAGGCCTGCCCCCTAGTGACACACTTCCTCCAACAAAGCCACATCTACTCCAACAAGGCTACACCTCCTAATAATGCCACTCCCTGTGACCCTAAGGGGACCATTTTCTTTCAAACCACCACAAGTATGTTTGATTTCTTTTCATTGCTGTGATACCTGAGAGGACAACGAAGGGAAGAAAGATTTATGACAGCTCAGAGTTTCAGGGGTGCAGTCCTCTATTGCTTGGCCTCATGCCCTTGGGCAGAGCATCATGATGGCAGAGGTATGTGGTGGAAGAAAGAGAGGAAAGGACTGAGGAGGAGACAGAGTCTTCCCAGGCCCTACCCCAAGCAGCCTGCTTCCTCTAGCTAGTCCCCATCTCCCTAAGCTCCCGCCACCTCCCACATTAGCACCACCAGCTGAAAGCTAAGCAATCACCACAGGAACCCATGAAGAACATTTCATATTCACATTATATAATGAGGCTTTGTGTAAGGCCATGGGGAAACCACAAAATACTGCATCCCTGTGATCCAGGTGTCTTGGTTCCTGGGTTCTTTCACATGATAGAAATAAAATGGCCCCAACCTCACAGAGATCTGTGGAAGACTAAATAAATTAATGTGTTTGTATGCATTAAGTGCTTCCTGACACTAACACTTTGTCAGTGTTAGCCATTATTTGGACTGTCATAATCTTCATCTCTGGATCTCAAAATAACTAAACCACACAGGGTCTGGGAGGTGTGAGCTCCAAATATTTGGGTTCGTTGTTTTGTTCTGGAGTGCTGAGGATGAACCGAGGCCACACACATACTAGGCAAATAGTAACATTAAGCTACATCCTCACCCTGTCTTTAGTTTTCAGAACCAAGCCCTGGCTCCCAGACATTCCTATCTAAGTACAACATCCCTTGTCTAAATACAACTGTTCTACAATGTTGCCAGGGAACAGTCAATAAATTTATCAGTCTTCAAATACTCATAATACATAGTTATACCTCCTCCAAAAATTGGGACATTTGCCATTTTATGTCTTTTGATACCTTTTACTTTCGGCCAAGATTCCAAGGAGTTTGCATCATACAATTTTTACAGTCGTGTTTATAAATTTTTCTTTCCTCCTAAATGAAAACCACCAGAGACTGAAACCTAGTGTAGCTGTTACAGGTTTCACTTCCTCTCAAGCATCAACTTCTCCTTAGGTACTCATGTCCTGCCCTTTCTGGGATCAAGATTTTTCTCCTACATTAAAAAGATGAAAACAAAATATGAGTAGAACAGTCTCATTTTATCTGTCATTGTAATACATGTTAATACACACACACACACACACATATATATATATATTCAGTCGTCTCACTACCTCTATTATTTTGTTATCAGCTTAATGCATCATTCACACACACACACAATCACACGCACACACACACTTGCTCTGTGTTTTCTATCCTCATGTCATCCTGAATTTTTGCAGTATTTATACTATTAAAAATGGCTGTCACCATCTTATCTTTATCTTTGGTTGTGTGAGGTCATTGGGAAGGTCCCAGTTAGATAGTAAACTACTTCATCTGCCTTGTTTTATGTGTGTCATGGCTTTCTTGTCTTCCTTTCTGAGAGGGTTTTTCATCGAGTTTAGACATTCCCATTCACAAACTACCCTTGTCTCGTGATCTGTCTTCCCCATTGACATAGCTGTTCCTTTTTTCAAGAATTGGCCTCCAACGCCAAGATCAAGGCCTCCTGCGGGCCGGACAAGGGCTCTACCACTGTGCCATTCCTCCACCCGCCCCGAGAATTTCTTAAATAACTTTTCCCAAGAATTCTTGAAGTCTGCTTTCACTAAAATCCAGCAAACTTCTTCACGGCGTCAGAATTTGTCTTTAAGAACCGTGTGTTCGCCCATGCCTCCCTCTCGGGGCTATCACTCCTTACACACCTTCTGCCCACTCTGCATGTTGGTAGTGTTTAAATGAGCGACTTCTACTGCTGCTCTTCGGATCCTAAGGCTGGAAGTAACAGCGAACCGGTCATGACGTCACAAGCTACGCGGCTTCTCGCAGAATGGATCCGAAACCATTTGACTCATCAAGCCCTCCCCTCGCTCTAGCCTGCCTCTTCCGGTTGGTTTTAGGAAAACCCCACCAAGGCTCTCCTTCTGCCCAGGCAGGATCTAGTGCAGTCGTGGATTTCCTTTACTTTCATAATCAATGCTCCCATCCGTGCTCCCCTCTTTCGGGGAGAAGTGAACGGAGCCCAGGATTGAGAATTACTGAGATCTTCTTCCTTACTAAGAAAAGCTTACTAAGGAAGTTGCTTTACTCCTGAAGGTAAACTCTTACATGTGAAGTATTTGGACCATGTGAGCAATAAATCTCTTCTATCTTATAATACCATAGCACAGTTATTGTTATGACCTTTTGCTTCTCACAATCTGTTTATCTTCCAGTTGCTTCTTTTAGTCATGTGGCCCAATTCATCAAGTCTTATTATAAATAATATCTGACTGAATCTAAAATAAACGTCCACGTGAAAGTTTCTACTCCTGAGGCCTAAGAGCTTCGGGAAGGATCTTCCTCAGCCTTTTTTCTCTTTTCATTTAAAAAACAAACAAAAGACAAAAAAAAGTTCTCCAGCATGCCTCATCCATCCCTTCCAAATGTCCCAATCTTTATATCCAGCTCAGAATCTTCTTTTCATCTCCCTCCATCCTTATTCCAAGCATCTAACACCTGACTCCACCAAGTGGTCCCAAAGGCATCTCCAACTCAGTATGAGTTCCAGAGTCTTCTAGCCCTCTCCTGAATGTCCTGTTTCTGTGAATGATATGTTCTTCTCTGCTACTTAGCACTGTATCTCACGTGATCTTTGCCTCCCCCTCCTCCATGTTTCTCAGAACCCATTCATTCTGCTTCTTCAGACCAAACACTCACGGCCTTGTGTATTGCTGCAATAGTCTAACCAGGGTTCTCCTTCAGCTTCTCTCTCACTACACAATGAGGCCATGTTCAACTTCTAAAAACAGGATTTTAACTGTTCTTTTCTCTCTGAAAACTTCTCGTTGTTTACTATCTCAAAGGTAAATAAATTCCAAGCCCCTCCTCATGGTAATTCCAGAGTCTCCATTAGCAATCTGTCCTTTTCCTGTTATTCCTAGTTTATTGCATGCTACTCTATCTTACAATTTAGATTCCATATTTGCTGTTCCAAATAATGTCCAGGGCTCCTGTTTCAGTCTCTGGGTCACACTGAACCTTTGACTTGAGTACCCTTTCTCCCAGGTCTCTAGTCTCCAAACATCACCCACCTCACCACTCAGATGCTGTCCTGAAGCTCTCCTAATAATGTCAGCTAGAAGACTATACTTTCAGGGATCATTTCTATAGTTCATTACTAATAATGTCAGCTAGAAGCAACCTCTGCCTGTCTCTTCTCAACCTCACAGGACTTCCTTTTGCCTAAGCAATGACTGGCACTATGTTTCTCAGACTGTCCTTTCTCGAAGAAATTATTTTTCTTCTTCATGAGAATGTAAGCATCTTAGTATCTACTTCAGAAGTATGTATTTATTTATTATAACATGGGTGTGATGTGTATGTGTGAATATGTGTGCCACTGTGCACTTGTGGAGGTCAGAGGACTATTTTCAGGAGTCAGTTATCTCCTTCCAGTTTGTTAAGGTGAGGGTCTCCCTTGTCTCTGCCTGTCTCTGTCCCCCATCTCACCAGAGAAGTGATGGAATTACAAATGAGTGCAACCACGTCTGCTTTTTTGTTTTTTGTTTTTTTTTTGTTTGTTTGTTTGTTTGTTTTGCTTTGATTTTTTAAGACAGAGTCTCACTCTATAGCCCTGGCTACCAAGTAATGCCCTGTGCTTAAACTCACAGAGATCTGCCTGCCTCTGCCTCCCAAATATGAGGATTAATGACATGTGCCATTATATCTGGCCTGGTAGGGGGTTTTTTGTAGGGTTTTTTGTTTGTTGTTTTGTTTTGTTTTGTTTTTCTTTTTCTTTCTTTCTTTCTTTCTTTCTTTTTTTTTAGACAGGGTTTCTCTGTGTAGCCCTGGCTGTCCTGGAACTCACTATGTAGAACAGGCTGGCCTCACAGAGATCTGCCTGCCTCTGCATCCTGAGTGCTGGTATTAAAGTCATGCACCCTGCCTGGGTTTCTTTTAAATGTGAGTTCTGGAGATCAAACTCAGGTCATCACGTTATACACCAAACACTTTTATCCACTGAAACATCTTGCCAGAACCTCAGTATTTTTGAAACACTGTAAAACTACTATTGATGTGAATATCACATTTGTACCTAAGTATCTAAGTACTGGATAAATTAATAATAAATAACTTAATATAAATCCTGCTTGGAAGAATCAATCATATATAAATATTGCTGATCAATAATTAATCAACATCTCCACAATACACTCTTAAGTATAGTGCTTACTTTTGTGAAGTATGAGATGGGGCAATATCATTGTATACTACATGGTCATCAAGACTTTCAATTGCACAAAGTGAATAGATTAATTTTCAAAATAAAAGGTAGTCTTTTATAGAGTTGAAATTTGTGGCTTTCACTGGGTGAAATAAGCTCAGTAAAGCAGTCAAAAACCCAGGCAGTTGATCACTGAGCGAAAGTCTAGTAGAGCAAGAAGTCTAATTGTACATTGATGAAGTCATCAGCAATAAAAGTCACTCAGAATAGTCACAATAACAAATGTTCTGAGTGCCAAGTCTCCTGCTTGGGAAAGTGGGGGAAGCAGGTAACATTTCCCATCCATTTGTTTCACACGAGGTTGCAGAGGGTCTAGCTGGCTGGTAGCCTCTGGAACAGTAGCGGTAGAGCTCTATAAAACTTAAGCTTGGCAATGTGGAAATTAAATTATTCCCAGAGTATTTTTCAGTAATGCTTATATATTACTATCAAATTAGTAAAGGAATAACAATCTAATGCTGATTGATGCCTTATAAGAAAAAAAAAAGCCACTCCTATCTTAAAATAGGATCATGCCTATAACATTATAAAATTACCTTCCCACCTGCCTTGACTGATGGGAGCGAGGCATCACATTGCCTCCAAGTGACAAAACATTGGTATTCCTAGGCAACACTTGCATAATCCCTGTGTTGTCAAAACACTTTAGAAGTCCAGCCTCAACCCATAGCTTCCACTATTTGATTACTAACCCCAAGAGAAAATCAACACAAACTGGCAGCCAACGACACTAGGGAGGTATTGCTGGGTTTGGCCGACACTGAGTCACACATCCTGTGCACCTCTCTGTGAGCTACTCCTGGAGAAGGGTAGGGTGCATCACCCCTTGGGGGAACTACACTAATGATGGGTCTCACTTCTGGCTGGCTGTTCTAAGGCTGCCTCCAAACCACAGGGCTTCAGAATGCAGAGAACAAAGCTTGCTTAAGGAATTTCCTACTTAAGAAAAGGCTACAGTGATTTGGTTAAGAATGCAGAAGTCAATCTCAAGTTGCCTGGGTTCAAATCTTGGCCCTGTCTATCACTTAGTAGTTAGGAGAATTTGAATAGTTCATCTCCCTAGACGTTCATCTTCCCTTTTGTAAAAAGAAATTATTATGGGATGTCTTTGTTATTACATCTTATTAAATAGTGTCTCTGAGGCACTGAACAAAATACTTGCACAAGCAATAGAGAATTGGCTCACAGAGGTTTACAGAATTTTGTGACCAATGTCTAAATTGCATCACACACACACACACACACACACACTCCTGCAAAAAAAAAAAAAAAAAGAACCTAAAATTTTAAAAAGTGATTCTAAAGACCCAAGCTTGTTTGTTGCCTGGTTGTTTTTTCCCAAAAGAACTATTTATAAAAATTACAATAGCAGTGCTGGTGAAGTCATGTCTTCTTCCTACGCACAAAGGGAAAGCCCAGCACAGCAGCTGGGACAACGTGTTTTTCTTCAACCAGTGTACCTGAACTCACACATCAAAAAAGACGACTTTTAATCTTCAAAGGGATCACCTCAGGAAGCTGTGTACTTCCAATAGCGCGGCCAAATACTTTCATAATCTCCCTCTGCATCAGCCCCTGGCTTGGCCTCGGATTCTTCCAGGTGCCTTTGTTGGCAACAAAATTTTATGCACTGAGAATTTTCAGTTTTGAAAGTGGATTTAAGAAAAACTCATGAATAAGATGAAGAATAATATCACCTCGGATTTTTTTGTTTGTTTTTTGCTTTTGTGTTTTTTCAGTTTTTAATGAGAAAATAAGACTTTTTTTTCTTTTAACTTGGATAGCCAAATATATCGATCCCAGCCAGTGCATCTCTAGGGCATTTTGGATAAATAGAAACACTGTCAGCATGAGCCAGTTGCTTTTATATGAATACTAATGTTACATAGTTATTTATTGAATTTTACTGAACAGACACCTCTAGAGCCCTAAGAACTTTCACGGGTACTAGTTTATCCTGTGTCCACGGCTTACAAGGTAGGGACTTTCAGTTTCCCCATTTCACAGTTTAGGTCATTGAGGTGCCATGGAATTTTTTCTAATGACATGGAGCAGAGAAATGGAAGAGTCAGAAGCCAAATCCAGGCTGCCTGTTGAGCATGTTTACTGTTCGCTAGAAAACAGAACCTATCAGCAGTAACGACGCTGCTCTTCTGTTCTGGGATCGATTGTAAGATTGATCGCTTGGTTCATTGACTCATTCACTGAGGTACTGGGTTCAAATTTGGTGGAAAATACATCTTGCCGCGCATTATTCTTGTTCACCTCAGCTGACGGAGAGTGACAGAGTAACATCTAAGCTCTCTTTCTTCATTGTCTTGCGTGTGACACCAGGAGGAAGTTGCCCCACTTTCCAGCTTCCTCCCTCTCTGCGGATCCGGCCCCTGGCTATCTTTCCTGTTTTCCACACGTGTGGGCCTTTCACCCAGCAGGGTCTTCAGCCTGTGCCAGGAGCAGTCTCCTCCTGCCTGTCTCAAAACTCCCTCCTTAAAACTCACCTTTTTTCCTTTACTTGACTCCTAAGTCTATATCACCAGCCTGATGGTGGAGGGAGAAAGAGGGCGAAAAGAAAGAAGATAGTGAAACTTTTCCTCTCCACTAAAACACATTTTTTGCCACTGCTCCCCACACACACACACACCACCGACTTTTCTCTCGGTGGTGAGAGAAACACACAAGTCTCCAGGGTGGCCTCTTCCCAAGGCCAACAGTATATCGCTGCCTATCCCTTCAGACAATGACAGCCTCCAGATCTCACCCCTGTGTAAGCTTTTAAAATTAACTCTGCTTGAACTTTTCTTTAATTTCAGGATAAAAGAAAAATCCAGGAAGAAATCTCACAGAAGCGTCTGAAAATAGAGGAGGAAAAATCGAAACACCAACATCTAAAGGTAACATCTGACTTCCGTCTCCTTTCGACGGTCTTGCGTTCAAACAGCCTGACAAGCCCACCACCATAGAGATGCTTTAGGAGAGAAAGGCTTCCCAGGTTAGCTCAACCACCATTCCAATCACCCGAGAAGAGGCCAGTAAGCCACCGATAATTGCATCTGAGATTAATACCTTTTGGCAAACCACAGGAAAGTTGGGAACACAGTTTTATTGCATCTATGATGGGGTGCAGGGTTTCCAAATCTTCCTCAGCAACCTTGAGAAGTCAGCCTTGAGAATTTGGCCCTGGTACAGCCTTGCTTAACATCCCTGGGGAGTGGATCCAGCTAGGAAGTTCCTTTTGAAATCAATGAAAGGCCAGCCCTTCCCCAGGGGCTACAGAGCAGACACTGTCTCGCCTGGTCAAGGATGCCTGTGTTCCAAAGCTCCCTGCAATGAGTCCAATGTTGTTTGCATATGGTTGGGTTTCTATTTTATTTTGTTTTGACAGAACATGAGATCATAACTATAAATAAGTCTCCATTTGAAAACTCAGACTTTACATCTTCCACAGGGTGTGGTCATTCTGTAATTAAAGCACATAGGATTTCAACATTGTATTACGTAGTTTGGTCAGGGGATCCCAGGAAAGGACAAACAGGAGCTCCTTGTGAATAGGCCCAAGCAGGAAACTGTTCTTATCTGGCAGGGCTGCTATCAATAGATCGAATGAATTCTCTCAATGAACAATGCCACGCAGTCAAAACTCTCCCAACTTAAACTTGCCAAATTCAGCTACATCCACTTCTCTAATGGAAAAAACTATTGAACTCTGAAAAGGCGCATCATTCAGGACTCTGGTTAGCCTCTGTCCTCAGGATTCTGTTGACTACTGTGTTCCTATCGAAGGTGGTATTTCCACTGTTGGAAGGATGACTGAAAGTCATAGTTAACCTGCTATTCTTACAAAATATCACGTTGAATAGTAGACACCCTCAAGAGATACAACGTGTATGCCCAGAAAAATCGGTGAGATTTAAAACAAAGCTTAGCAATTCAAATGAAGTCAGTCAATTCTCAACTGTTCGAGATAGATTCAGAATTATTGGCTCCCCTCCCCTTCCCTCTCAGACACACATGCCCAATTTGAGTCCTGCTATGAAGAGTTTGCTACTCCAGAGGAAAACGATACATCTCTGGCTTTCGGGGACTGCTATTTGGGTAGCATGGAAGGCCATGTAACTGCCGAGCTCACAATAGCCAAAGGGGTTTGACCATTCCCTCAGCTCTTTTGAGGAAGGAAGTTCCACACAGGAAAAGGCTGACTCCCTCAAAGATTCATTTCTGAGGTGGCCTTGGTGGCAGTCTGTGTCAAAAACAGTCCCAACAAGAATATGTAACCTCTCTTATTCATGTGTTTTCTGAAACCAAGGAGCATCTTCTAACCCAGTCAATGTGTGTACCAGCTTTGATGGCTGCCCAGCGTTGTGCAGATTGTGTAGTGCACCCTGCAAATGAGCCGTTGAAGACCCACCCATGCCCCCTTGCCAGCTGTGCCCTCTACCCAGGGCCTGCCTCTACCTGAAGCAAGAGATTTTCATCTTTTTTCTGTTCCAAGATATTCTCTGCTTTCCTTCAAGGACCCAAAAGAGAGGAGATGAGGGGGAGGGGGAAATGACATGTCCTAATTTGAGAAATTAAAGATTAAATTTAAGAAGACACGTTAAATGGTGGTGTTCCTATTTAGACAATAGACATTAACTGCGCAATATGAGGAGGTCAAAGAAAATTTTTATAAAGATGTGGGTTTAAAGTAGAAAGCCTTAGATGGTAAGTAGAATTTACCGAGGTACACATAGGGCCTTTCAGTGAACACAGCACCTATTACTTTTGAGGTGCTATACAAGACCCTAAAAATATAACAAAGCTTGCCCTGTGCCTTTTAAGATAAATGCCACTCCTAGTGGCATTTGTCCTGTGATGAACGCTATACTGGAAGCAATGACTGCACAGGAAATACAGGGCAAAGAGTGGATATTTCAACATTCTTCCAAGTTTGCAGAAATTACTGGCTATTCCAACAGAAACCAGGCCCAATTCCAAAACCAGCCTCAAAAATGTGTAAAAGTATTTTTAAAATCGATTTCATGCTATTTCGCCTAGTCTTGAAAGTTCTATTACCTATTTTCTTTTCCATCCAGCTGTCCAGGCTCCCATGACCCTTCGCTGCTTCCCTAATTGCAAGCTAGTTTATTACACCACAATGGTACACAGAGACATTTGCAATCTTCTCCTCCTGTAACATACACACACACACACACACACACACACACACACACACACACACACACACACACACACCAGAATGGTTGGCATACTCACTGTGATCATTATCTTCTGATGCTTGGACCCACAATATGCATGCAAATTTCTGTGGGCATTCATTACATTACAATCAAATGATTCTGAAATGTGTATACTGCAGACCTCTTTGCCTGTAATAGCATGCATCAGGAAAAACAAATTACAGTCGATATAGACTTTTTTCTTTTCTATAAGTCCATTCAACTCACAGTTAAAAAAAAAATTATTCCAAGTCTGCTATAATTGCTGAGTATAATGTAGTAACACTTCAGGAGACCTTTTTATAAAAACTGACAAATATGGCTCGTATGTCACTATATCACTTTATTTTCATTTAGTTACTTGAGCCTTTGGTTCTGTTATCTGCCTTTGTGGTGATGGTGATTAAACCCAGGGCCTTGTATACACTAGGCAAGCAGTCCCCAGTGAACAACATCAGCAGCCCACGCTGCTCTTGATTCTGAACTCCATTGTCATGAACTGGTTAACCTGGTGGTATCACAGATTACTGCCTGGCTCATCTAGCTTAGCATCACCGGACTGCGCCAGCTGAGTGTTTCTTAGATCAACAGGCAAGCAAATGGCACTGTCCTTAGGCGTGATTCATCAAGACTAGAACTTGCTGATGTGTAAGCATGGATTTGCAAGTAAATAAGATTTAAAGGGCAAAGAAGATGACTCCCTCGGTTGAGTGCTTGCCAGAGAGGCACAGAGACCTAACTTGGGATCCCCAGCACACACATGTGAATCCAAGCACACCAGTGCACACGTCTAACCCTAGCTCTGAGGAGGGGGAGGCAGGGGCTTGCTGTCAACCAGTCTGGCCAGATCAGTGAGCCAAATCCTGCCTCAAAACCAAGGTAGAGAGCCAGCAAGATGACTTACTGAGGAAAGCTGCTTACTGCCAAGGCTGGTGACCTACATTCAATCCTGGGACCCATATAGTTGGGGGAGAAAACCAGCTCCTGCCGGTTGTCCCCTAACCTCCATGGGCATCAGCACACGAGGCATGCGCACCACCTGTGTACACAAAATAAGTAAAATGCAATTTGAAAAATACCAAGTTGGAGATTGAGAGAGGAAGACACCAGCAGTGACCGCTGACCTCCACATGTACCAACAAATGTGCACATGTATAGTCCCATGCACAAGTATATACACACACAAGCTTATATACACTCATAGACCACACACACACACACACACACACACACACACACACACGATTTAAATGTCTAAAAACTAGCTTCAGAAAAGAGCCTACAGGTTTCACAGAAGGAAAACACCAAATTCATGGAGGCAGGATAACGGGAGAAAATGAGTGCTCCTTCCCATGCCCACTATTACAATTCATGACATTTGAAGGCAACAAGAAATTTTTGAAACTGTTGACATATATAAGGAAATAAATGTCTTCTTTACTATACATTAACTATCCTCAAATTCTATCAATTAAAAAAATTAATTAAAATCCAGGTAAATTCTTACAATGATGATCAGTTTTCTTGGTGTCTTAACCCCCAGGTCTCAAACATGGGCCTATATTATTATTGATTACTGGGTCTGGAGAGGGACCAGTTTTGTAAACAACTAATCAGCTATGATTATGAAGATTTTGATTCACTGGGGAGACCCTCTGGCCCCAGAACAATAACACAAACTGCTCTTGTGGTGTGTGTTAGCCTGATGAAGTGACTGCAAATTCTGAAAGGGTCAACAACATGTGATGATGTAGGGCTCTTATTTCATCTAGTGGTCTGTAACCCAGGTTCTGCGGCATCTGTCTTCAGACCTCCTTACTCTAACGGGTTTTTACATGATCATACTGGTTATCTGTAGTTATTGTAATATTGATTTGGTTTCTTTTTAAAGAAGACAGGGGCCAAGGAGTTTACAAATATGGAAAGATGCCAGATTTATTGAGCTAAGTCAGTGGGAAAAAAATAATCCCTCTTTAATATGTCCACTGTTGCCATTCATAAGACTCGCAAGCAATAAGAGATTTGGGGAATTGTTGGCAAATATAAGAACATACGTTTATATTTCCTGACATCAGAAAAAAGCCTTGAGGGAGAAATGGCTCCTGGATGGAATCAGCAGTGGAAAAGAACAGGAAGAGATGAAGAAACAAAATCAGCAAGACCAGCACCAGACCCAGGTTCTAGAGCAAAGCATCCTCAGGTATGCCCTCTCTCGGGTACTTCTCCAATCTCCCTCCCTAAAAGAGAGCTGGCAGTCATGAAGGAAACTGGAAAGTTTAAGTATTAGATGAGATTATTAGTGATTCCACAAATGCGGATATCATGGGAGAAAGATGCAGGGGATGGAAGAAGTTATTTTCCAACCTATACACAGAAGATAGATGGCAAGTTTTCCTTTTGTGTGTGTGTGTGTGTGTGCATATATATATGTGTGTGCACAGGTATGCTCACACATACCAAAGGTTGATGTTGGCATGCCTTTCTCTGTTGCTTCTTCCATTATTTTTAAATATTTTATTAATTTTTGAGAGTTTTATATAATGTATTTTGATCATACTCACCCCCAAGTCCTCCCAGATAAATCCCTTCCTCCCTACCCCCAGGAATTCATGTCCTCTTTGTTGTTGTTGTTGTTGTTGTTGTTGTTGTTGTTGTTGTTGTTGTTTTAAATAAGCCAGGGGCTTCAAATGTGCTAACCTGGTTGTGGGGACCTCCAATGAAGTGTGGTCAGATGGCCAGAAGCTACACCTTTACAGAAAACTGAATCTCCTCACAAAAACCACAAATGGCCCGCAGCTCCTCACTTAGGGCTGTGGGCTTAAAGATGCTTTCCCATTCCATGCTAGAATGTTGGCCAGCTCGACCTTGTGTAGTCTTGTGCCTCAACTGCTGTGTTCAATGTGTCTTGGTCCTTGGAACCTGACTGAGGACAGTGTGGAAATGAAGAAAGAACCGACACACATACAGAAAGGCTGGGATCAGGAGGGTTGTGTGTGTGTGTGTGTTCTGAAGGAGCTGCATCAACTGCCAGAACAGCCTGGAACCTCAGCATGTCTATAATGTGCTGCACAGAGGGAGCAGTTAGCGGGTCTTGATTGGAGGTGTCTGGAGGTGAGCAGTCTCTGGCTGTACACATCCAGCAGCAGGAAGCTACAGTTGCTAGTTTTTGAACACACTGGTCTATCATTTGCAAACACTCCAGCTTGTGCCACAGGAAAGCTTTGCCATTCTAAGCCTGACCTGTATGGACAAGGCTTTACCAATTTTCCATGGGTCTGAGGCATTGGTCCTTGACATGGATGTGTCGTTCATCTGCTCTTTGCATATTTAGTCTGGGCTTCCTCAGCTCCCCAAAGGCTGTCATGTGATCCTGTCATGTCCAGAGATGCTGTTTAACTCTAACCCTCCCCAACATCTGGCTCTTGCAATCTTTCCAACCCCTCCTTTTTGGTCAGTGTTTCTATTGCTGTGATGAAACATCATGACCAAAACAATGTGGAGAGGAAAGGGTTTAATTGGCTTACACTTCCACAACATTATTCATCATCAAAGGAAGTCGGGATAAGAACTCAAACAGGGCAGGATCTTAGAGGCAGGAGCTGATGCAGAGACCATGGATGGGTGCTGTTTACAGGCTTGCTCCCCATGGCTTGCTCAGCCCTTTCTTACAGAACCTAGAACCACTAGTCCAGGGATGGCACCACCCACGGGGGCTGAGCCCTTCCACATCAATCACTAATTAAGAAAATGTTGCACAGGTTTACCGACAGCCTAATCCTATGGAGGCATTTTCTTAATTGTGGTTCCCTTCTCTCAGATGATTTTAGCTTGTGTCGAGTTGACATAAGCCTATTCAGCACACTTGCTTCCTTCATGGTCCCTGAGCCTTGGGAAGAGGATGTAGTATAGATGTGCTATTTGTGGCTTAGCACTCCATAGACACTTATTCTCTGCACTATGACCAGTTCTAAGTGTCCTCATTAACCACTATGTGCTATCCAAAGAAATTTCTCTGACATAGTCTGAGATCTGCCCTCATCTATGGGTAGAGAGACACACATTTTGAAGACAATTTGATACTGTCAACTTTAACAGAATATAGTAATTAGTTCAACCCTGGGATCTGTGAGCTCCCCAACCATGGATTCTTGGCCACATTTACAGTACCAAGCATGAATTTCCCCCTGTGGAACAGGTCTTAAATCCAATCAGCAGGTCATTGGTCCATCCTTATTTTTTGAGACAGGATGTTTCACAGAACTTGTAAGTCAGGATATCTCGCAGCATCAGCTAGGCTACTGAGCACTAAGCTGCTGGGATGACAAGTGTGTACCATCATGCCCTGCTTTTAAATAGATGCTAGGGGGACTTGAACTCAGGTCCTCATGCTTGTGCAGCAAGCACTTTATCCACTAAGCCCCCTCCCCAACCCCCAAAAGATGGAATGTCTTGTGGTTTAATTATGACGATAATTAGAAGTCTACTCCTCTTTGGAATATAAGGAACTCCCAGAACCTCACTAAAATAAGAACAGTGGGGAAGGGCTGAGCAGGAGGTGTGGTGTGAGAGTCTTCAGCAGACCTGCTGTGACCACATTCTCTCCATGCTCACCAGAGAAGACAAACACATCTCATTAGTCCTAAAATAAACAATTCAGGAGAAAAGCCTTTTTTTTTTTTTCTGATGACTTCCACTGCACTTGCTCATTTACATGCATTTTATATTTAGTAGATTAGACTTTTGGCTGTGCTACCTTGCTTAGGTGTCTTTAAATGAACAACTCTTAAACAGTAATGTAATTGAGATTTTTTTAATTCTATTACCCTCTAACACTAGTTCTTTGCTCAGTATGTTTCCAAACAATAGATAATAAACACTGTCTTAAAAACCAAGAAACAGCAAGAACCAACTGCCTCTACAGCTGACCACTCCATCCCTTAGGAAGGCTCCCTTTAGCTCAAGCTTCATACCCAGAGTCCATCCAGCTTAAGCTGGTGATGTCTTTCTCCATTCCCCAACACAGAATCCTTATCTCTAATGACTCCCAGGCTAATTCCCATAAACCTCCCCGCCATGCTGACACCACCTCAGAACCTCCTTTTCCAGTCTTTCCACATATTGAACCCCTACAATTCTCCCTGCACCTGATGATAATTGAAGTGGCTATGTACAATCAGGGTTCAGGGGCAGGTCTACATAGCAATTCTTTGTAATCCCAGAGTATTTACTAGGATTCTCTGATTGCCTTTCAGCCTTGCCTGAATGCTCCAAGAAGCACATAGCTTCTAGCCATACTGATAGTGGCTGTCTAGACAGAGCTCCTCTCTCAGCAAGAATTTTAAAGAGGGAGGAGATGTTTAATGAGGTATAGAGGATATGCTGTCCCCATTCGGTATTAATAACCTTTAGAGAAAGACATCCATCACCTTTTGCAGAGAGATCTGAAAAAAAAGCAGACAGACAGGTATTCCCTCATCCAACTCTCTCAGTGACTACAAAATGTCACACAGCAGCCTCTAGGGACTCAAAAGGTCTCTCACAGAAAGGTATTTTTCTCTCATAGGAAGACTTTAGCAGTATTTGTCCCTTTGTTCTTACCAGAAAACCCCCACCCACCTCTCTCTGTTCTCTTTATCAAATTGTCACTCATATGCCCTGTTTCCAGCATCTCGCTGTAACTTAATTTTGGCCTTTCAGGATGCTGTTAAGCCATCAGGGCTCCTTATTGAGCACCAGATGAATTTAGTCCACTGATAGAAATAATATTAATAATCGTTCTTTGAAAGGAGCATCCTAGCCGGGCGGTGGTGGCACACGCCTTTAATCCCAGCACTTGGGCAGAGGCAGGTGGATCTCTGTGAGTTCGAAGCCAGCCTGGTCTATAGAGTGAGATCCAGGAAAGGTGCAAAGCTACACAGAGTAAACCTGTCTTGAAAAACAAAAAAAAAAAAAAAGGGGGGGCATCCTAAAATTTATGAAGTATTTGCCCAAACATGAACTCTTTTAACAGTCACAGTAATCCTAAAAAGAAAACGCTAATAACTCCATGCCATAGATGAGGAAATGGGCTCAAAGGAGGTATGGGACTTTGTGCCCGGCCATGGAGCCTGCAGAAAGCAGGCCAAGCTCTAAAGTCAGAATTCTGCAACTATAAAAGAAAAAGAAAACTTTAAGTAGAAATGTTTTGGAAGCAATGATACAGTTGATGTGGGCAAGTATCTTGAATAATCAACAAACAGCTCTTTTCAAGGAACTATCCTAAAGAGACGTATTTGCAAGAAGTTTGTAAAGAATCTACATCTTTGTTGGCCTTTAGAGGTGTGTTTATCTTGTTTTTTTTTAAATATGTGCAAGAACAGAATGTTCTGAAACAAAACATAAATGTGAATAATATGTGTGCCTTGTCTGTATTTCAGCAGCCCAGCAAGTGCTCTGCACTGTTAAATCACATTGCCAAGCAGCTTAACCTAGCCACTGGACAGGGGTTTTTTCTTAGATATTTCTAAAGCTGCTAAATAATCAGGTGCATGTTTCTCAATTCGATCTCCTGCCTAAATAATTACCACAGCGCTTAAGAATCTTTTATTACCAATGAAATCAGTAAGCTCCTGCTAGTTCCCCATAGCCAACTGATACAGCGAAACGAAGCAAAGCTGTGCCTCCTTCCCTGAGCAGAGAAAGAATCCAAGTGCTGCCTGTGATTTATCACTTAGGTGCCTGCCCAGGAGTGACATTTGTCGCTCTGCCAGGCCCCTCAGCAAAAGGATAAGAGTTAAACAGGAACATCAAAATAGAAATGATGCCATTACCTCAGAGTTCGCAACAAGGCCAGATCCCGCCTGGGAAGTGTTCATTCCTTCTATGTTCATGGTTTTGTGGCAGTTTGCCTTCGGCTTCTTAATCTCTTCCTCTACCCACAGTCTGTGAGCTCGGCTAGTCTGCTTTTACCACTCTCTGCCTCAGTTTCCTCGCTTGTAAGTTGGGACAGTTGGAGCCACATCACAGGACTCTTGGGAATACAGTGATTTCCCTGACACTCAGTAGGTGATTAATATAAATATATTGAGAGATATATAATACCATTGTTCATTGAAAGTATACATCAAAGGGATGGGGAGCTGGCTAAAGCCATTGCTGTGCAAGTGTTCTAGTTAATTCCATGACCAAAAGCAACCTGAGGAAGAAAATGGCTATTTGGCT